GAAGAGCAGCTGGTAAGCTTGAACCACCAACCTTGCTGTTCAAACGGCTTTGCAGTCTGGCGCTTTAACCCACAGTGCCACACCAGGACTCCTTGTGGATAGTTGTACCAAAATTATATGCTAATGTATTTAAATAATCTGAATGGTACTTTAAATACACTAGAAGGAATTATTTAAAGGAAAATAAAACAATTCTCTTTTTTAAAAATTATGAATTGAGTGAGGGTTTACAGACAAGATTATCAGTTTTACATCCAACAGATTTTACACTTTGTATCTTCTTAATGATTACAATCCCCTCCCTGCAACAACAGTGATCCCTCTTCCTCCCTGTGGTTCCTGTTTCCATTCCACCCTCCTTCCCTTGTTCTCTAAGAGAATTCTTAAAAGAAAAGAATCTTTTGTAGTGTTTATGTTCACAAACTTTTTCTTTCTTTTAAATATGGATTTGTTTGCATATTGATTATATGTTATGTTTTATTTAAATAGAACTCATCTCTTATAAGAATGATTGGTTTAAAAATCAAAGACCCTTGTATTTAGCAGAGTTTTCTAATGATGTCAATTATTTTTACAGTAAAGGTCAGAGTTTATTCATTGAATGATGACTTGAAGCCAGCCAAAAGAACAATTGTCTTAACTTTCATAGTAAGTATGCTTTTTAATCTAACTAACAGTTTAACTCAATTTTAGGACAAGATCCATCATGCATAATCCTGATTTACACTTCACTAAATCATTTAATATGTCTTGAATGGCTACTGAACACCTATTCTGAGGATAACATCTCTTCCAATAGACATACGAAGGCACTTCAAAAAGTCTATGGGAAAAATCCTTCGTCTTTCACTTTCATTTTCTATGAAATTTTTGAAGTCCTTTCATATATGAAAAGCTCATAAAAATTAAGTCTCACAGGGCAGGGATTAAACACAGGATAGTTTGGGTGCTAGGGAGGGGGCAATACACAAGTAGGGAGAGGGGAATGGAAGAACAAAGCAGATGAGAGAAAAATTAGACAGGTCTCAATGGGCTAAGTGAGACAGAGGTAAATAATGATATATGCACAACCTGGGAACAACAGTGTTCTGGGATACAGAGATAGAGCCATGGCTGGAATGTGGAAAAGGGGGGAATAATATTAAGATGCTTGGCTGTCTTTTGAATCTTGGTTTTCCTTGCATTATATTATAAAATAGACACTGGAGGGGGAGAGAAAGGAATAGCGAAAAGCATCACCATAGAAAGCTTGTAAGTCCGTCTTCTGCCTATAACTGATTGGAATACCTAAAATGGGGCTACAACGAGCTCAGTGAAGGAGGCTTCCTACGGTGCCTCTGCAATACATAAGACTATAGATGGAAGCCTGAACCACATCCAGATCTCCAGAGATGGGAAATTCCTACTTGAAAGGACAAGCAGACCAACCTGACGTGGCTAGAAGAACAGAAGATACTTCTTGAAAGAAAGACCTACAAGAAAAAGATAAAACAACATAGGCAGACCGACTGTTACTACAAGAACAAACAACTTGCTTGCCCAGGAAACATCAAGGCAAATGGTCGGGTCCCCTCAGTGCAAACCCCCTTCCAAGACTAAGACTCAATGGGAATACACGCTGTGATTGGTGACGACGCTCGCTGGACACCGATAAGGGGAAGTGAGGGAAAAACAGCAATGAAGCGGTGAGCCAAGCCCTACAACGTTCAATAGACTTCTGTGAACCCAGGTGGAGACCTGGTTGGCCAGCAGTGTGGCAAGACCTGGGGACTCTTGGGCCCAGAGTCAGTGACATAGCCACAGAGGACTAGAGTGGAGAGTGAAGCGTCCAGCTGATAAGAAGAGAGGGCATATGCATAAGAACACCCACACTTGCAGATGATACCTACTTGTCCTGGCTTCAGTGACTAGATGATCAGAGCTGAACCAGAAGTAAAAAGAAGAGGGAAAAAAAAGAAAAAAATTAAGTCTCACCAAGTTGAGGGCCTCTGAGCTAAGCCATTTACTTGTAATTCTTGAAACAAATCCCTTAAACTCCTGACCTTGGATTTCATAGTCATGGCCAGTGGTGCTAACTTTCTGAGTTGAGGTTGAAATGGACTGCCACATATAGTTCAAAGAAAGTCAAAGTATCAGCTCAATACATTTCTAAGCCAAACACAAAATGAATTGGTGGGGAAGCTTTATGAGAACTTTAAGATTATGAACCCATTTTGAGTGTTTTGTCAAGTTCAAAATGTCCAGATTGCACTTTTATAAAATGTCTAGATAAGAAATACATTTTATACCATATTTACTTTAGGAAACTTCAAATTAATATGTATAAAATTTGGATTCTGGTATCTAAAGAGTCCACATTCTGGTATCTAAAGAATTCACATTTGGTTAATAATAACATCAGTTACTATTTTTTGTATTTTGTTATGTTTCCTTTTTTTATTATACTATAAGAAAATATTGAGTCTCTTCTGAATAATTGAGCTTAGAATGCCTGGACACTGATTGATGTGTGTATGTTTTGGTGAGTCAAGAGATGGAGGAGGTGCCCCAAAGAGGAAAATAAAAGGCCTAAATGAATCATATTTGTCTATTACAGCACTTAATCTTCCTCCTTCATGTTTAACTTGAAGACATAGGCATTTGTTGGTAAATATTTTTATAGATTAAAAAAATCATATCAGCAGTTAAAATATTACAAATATGGTTTCTGTGCTTTAAGATTGTTTGTTTTTAATTAAAGGAGCCCGAAGGATCTGAAGTTGACCAGGTAGAAGAAAATGACTATACTGGAATTGTCTCTTTTCCTGATTTCAAGATTCCATCAAATCCTAAGTATTTAACAATATTTGTTAATAAGGTTTTCTCTGAAAAGCACTTAACTTCTGGTTATGAAACAGATAAGTAGTCAAAAGGAGCCACATACTGCTAAACAGGAGTCCTGGTGTAGCGCTGTGGGTCAATGCGCCAGACTGAAAAGCTGTTTGAACTGCAAGGTCGGTGGCTCAAGCTCACCAGTCACTCCTCGGAAACCCTATACAGGGTCACTATGGGTCGGAACTGACTCGATGGCACTTAACAACAACAACTGCTAAATACGGGGTATCATTGAGAAAGGAATGCGAATATGAAAAATCATTTATCGTCTAGTGACAAGCTAGGTGCAGGCATGCCCCTTCCAATACTTCACTCCTTTTATATATAAAAACAAAAATTAAGGAGAGGTAAAAATAGCCTTCAGGCTTTTAATTTTTTAATTAAAAAACCATGAGCCCCTCACCCTTCAAGGAATCATATACATGTTTAATCTGAAAGACTTTTCAGCTCCATTTTTCACTCTGAGGGTTATAAAATATTGATCCTCTCTAATTGAGTCCTGGTGTGGTGCTGTAGGCTAAGTACTAGGCTGCTAATCACAAGGTTGGAGGTTCAGACCCAGCAGCTGCTCCTTGGAAACCCTGTACAGGGTGGCTATGAGTCAGAACCAACTTGATGACACTTAACAACAACAACAATCTGTATCTACATAAACTGCCAGAAGGCAGAACCAAGAAGAGGGTATGCTTGAAGGCATTTCTTCTATTTGGCCTCATGTTAAATTATTTGAGAACATGTTTAAACAGAATTCAATACAGTAACCATTTAGTAAGCATATTCCTGATATGGAAGTTAGAGATGAAAAATAGAAGTGGAGAATCCATAGCATGTGCCTTCAGGGAAATTACAGCAGGATGAGAAGAGGCGTGTTTGCAGTTCATTCATTATTCTGAACATTTTCTAGAAATGAACGACTTGAGAGACTGAATAATTTGGATAGTTGTAAAATTGCATACTTTCTTGAAAATACTATGTGATCTACAGTACATAAACAAGCCTATTATTTTAATACGATTACCATTGCTCCAAAAGAGACTGCTGGCACTGTGAGATAAGCATTGAACTGCTAACTGCAAGGTGGGTGGTTCAAACTCACCAGATAGATACTCCAAGGGAGAAAGATGAAGCTGTCTGTTCCCGTAAAGATTTACAGTCTCTCCCGTAAAGATTTACAGTCTCAGAAACCCTCTCTAGGGTGGCTACGAGTAGGGAACTACTCAGTGGCAATGGGGCTCATGGCTCCAACTTCATCTTGTGCCCCTTGCTCCTTGGCAGATTATGTTTCAGCCTCTCCCACCTCAGTGCCTTTGTACATGCTGTCTTCTCTGTTTAGAATACATTTCACTTTACTCTTCACAAAATTGACTTCTTCTCATTCTTTAGAACACAGGGTAGCTACCACCTTTCCAAAAGTCCACCCCTGAACACTCCCTTCCTTTTACTTTCTACCTTAGCACCTCATTTATTTCTCTCAGGACACTAATCTCAATTTTGCAATTCTTTATTTCTTTTTTTACTTGCCTTTTAATTCCCCACTATACTGTAAACTCCTTGAGAGCAGGGACCTTGTCTGACTAGCTGACTGCTGTTTTTCTAGGACTTCAACATAATGGTGGTGTTGCTGCTAAGTCTATTCTGACTCATAGCGACCCTGCATAAGGTTTCCGAGAAGCAGCTGGTGGGTTTGAACCACTGACCTTGTGGTTAGAAGTCCAGTGTTTATCCTATAGCACCACACCAGGATACTTGATAAATAGTCATTGAATTGATGATGATGATGAGAAGAAGAAGAACCACAATAGTAGTACAGATTGATTATATCACCAACCAGAGACTGGGTTCCATTTTCTAAGGCTAAGTCCAACCTTCTAGTAAATGGAGAAGTGGAAATATGAATTCCTATGGGCTGTTAACTTTATGAAGGGTAGCACTTCTGATCTCCTTTTCTTAATTCAGTGCTCAGTAAATATTTTTGAATGAAGACTGTTAATCCAGGACTTTTCCTGTTTGAACCATGTTTTGTCCCCAACCATATTATGTGAGGTATGAGTGTTATCAACTGGATAGACTTGGCCAGTATTACATATTTCTAGAAACATTATTATGGATTTTCTACTATATTGTGGATCTTATTATCATGCTATTATAGCTAAGTTCCAGGATTAAGTAAATTCTCAAGTATGATAAACCTTCCAAATCAAGACTATTGACTACATGTAAAATCATTTGGGAAAAACTCAATATATGAAAAACTACTAAAAGTTTTGTTACTGAGAAAATGCTTGGTTATTTCTGTCTATCACTTAAAACCTTGTCACAAATAATATATATTGCTTAGATTGCCTGTACTGTTACATGCCTTATCCTCTATAAAATAGAAATCGATTCTATTTTCTTAATTATGAATTTTAAAAATTTGATGGCATCTGTAATTTTTAAATTTTTGCTTCCTCAGATATGGTATGTGGAAAATTCAAGCTAAATATAAAGAAGACTTTTCAACAACTGAAACTCTATGTTTTGAAGTTAAAGAATATGGTAATTTCTGAATTACTTCTAGATGACAATGAGGCAGCTTTTGGTACTGGTGGGCATGGGTGGGTGGTAGTTGGTCGAATGCCTGGGTTTTTGTTCCCACAGATCCTTGTTAACCTTGAGCAAGTGGCCCAAGCTCTCTGGACTTGTGTTCTTCATCATAGGACTTGACGACTTAAGGTTCTTTCCAGAACTATGATTTTAGGAGAATTTGAAATAGTCGGAGATCCAATGAGTGGAGCCCAGTAAAATTAGTAAAGGATTTACTCAAGCCTTACAATCAGTTAGTGATAGATCAAGAAGGGCATCAGGTTTCTTTACTCCTAGTCCAGCACTATCTTCCTTCTGGATCACAAATCTCTAATGTATTTGTTTGGAAATTTAATATGTTCTTATTTTGAAATGGGAGTCCTGTGCGGCTCTGTGGGATAATGTGCTGGACTGCTAGGTCAGTTTGAAAGGGCAAGTTGGCGGTTCACCCAAGCCACTCCTTGGAAACCCTATAAAGAGTCGCTATGAGTCAGAACCAACTCGATGGCACTTAACAACAACATTTT